GATAAGTTGTTGCGAGCAGGACACGTCAAGGAAATCCAATTTCCTGAGTGGATATCCAACACCGTGATGGTAAGAAAGGCATTGAACAAATGGCGCATGTGCATCGACTTCCGTGACTTGAACTTGGCCTACCCAAAAGATCATTATCTTTTGCCACGAATCGATCAGCTCGTCGACTCTACGGCTGGTTGCGAGTTACTAAGCATGATGGACGCATCTCAGGGATACCATCAGATTCCATTGTGCCCGGAAGATCAGAGTAATGTGAGTTTCGTGACGAGTAAAGGGACGTACTATTATGTCGTCATGCCCTTTGGGCTTAAGAATGCTGGAGCAACCTACCAACGATTGATGGATCGAATGTTTAAATCTCAGATTGGGCGGAATATCAAGGTATATGTGGACGATATATTGGTAAAGAGTAAGGCTTCAACCTCACACCCAGACGATTTGAGGGAAACGTTCACAACCCTTAGGGCGTTCGGGATGAAGATGAACCCAAACAAGTGTGCCTTTGGAGTAAAAGCCGGACGATTCTTGGGGTATATTGTCACAGAGCGAGGAATCGAAGTAAATCGGGAGAAAGTAAAAGCCATACTCGACATGGCTCCGCCAAGAAATATAAGAGATGTGCAAGTTCTGACAGGACGAATCGTGGGGCTGAGTAGGTTCATCGCTCGAGCCGCAGAAAAAAGTTTCCCGTTCTTCAGATTACTCAAAAAGAGGTCGACCTTCTCATGGAGTGACGAAGCACAAATGGCCTTCGAAAAGTTGAAGGAATTCCTAGGCGAGTTGCCTCTGCTGACAAAGCTAGAGCCTGGCGACGAGCTGGTGCTTTATATATCTGTGGGTTCGGTATCGCTAAGTTCAGTATTATTGCGAGAAGAAGGAGGTGTTCAACAGACAATTTACTACACCAGTCGAGTTCTTCAGGGCGCAGAGACAAGGTACTCTGAGATCGAGAAGGCCGCTTTAACGCTGGTGATAACAGCTAGAAAACTAAGGCCATATTTTCTGAATCATGTGGTAGTAGTAGGGACGAACTTCCAGCTGGGTGAAACATTGGGCCGACCTACGGTATCAGGCCGACTCATTAAATGGGCAGTCGAGCTGAGCGAATATTCCCTTAAGTATGGGCCGAGGCGAGCCATAAAAGCTCAAGCCCTGGCAGATTTCATCCAAGAAGGAACCAAGGGGGAAGAAAAGAAATGGATCATGCACGTCGATGGGTCCTCAGCGGCCAAAGGGTCCGGACTGGGAATCGTCCTCGTATCACCCGAGGGCGAGCAACTGGACTTTGCTATTAGAATGGGATTTAAGGCCTCAAATAACGAAGCAGAATACGAGGCGTTAATCAATGGAATTCAACTCGCAATTGGCGGAGGAGCGTCAGAAATTATGGCACATTCCGACTCACAACTAGTTGTTGGACAAGTGTTGGGAAGTTGCGAGATCAAAGAAGAACGAATGATGAAATATGTCGAAGAAATCCAAAGTCTTGTGCAGGGCCTGGAGAAATTTGAACTAACACAAATCCCTCGAGAGGAAAATAAACGCGCAGATTGGCTCGCGAGAATCGCGAGCTCGAATGATGGGAAGATGGGAAACTCTATCACCACCATGCATCTAGAGGAAAGCGTGTTGGGCGAAGCTATGGAAGTCGAAGAGAAAGAGGATTGGAGGATGTCGATTCGAGAACTTTTGCAAAGGAAGATACCTACTGGGGATAAACAGGAAGCCGAAAGAGCTGCTAGATACTTAACTAAGTATTTTGAAATTGAGGGAGTGTTATACAAGAGGTCATATATTGGACCCCATTTAAGATGCATTTCTGAAGACGAGGGAAATTACGTCTTGCGGGAAATTCATGAAGGGTGCTGCGGGGCTCACATCGGATCTCGGGCTTTAGCTGGAAAGGTGATGCGCGCCGGCTATTATTGGCCAAAAGTCAGGAGAATGGCCGAGCAGTTAGTACAAGAGTGCGAAAGATACCAGCGTCACGGCCCGATCCCTCATATCCCCACTGAAACTATGATGACAATCAGCTGCCCGATCCCCTTTTCTCAATGGGGAATCGACTTGGTGGGACCTTTACCAATGGGGACCGGGCAAAGGAAATTCCTGGTAGTCGCAGTCGACTACTTCAGCAAATGGGTAGAAGCAAAACCGCTAGCAAAAATTACTGAAGAGAGAATGATCCAGTTCCTATTCAACAACATCTGCTGTCGATTCGGGATCCCGAAGATATTAATTTCAGATAATGGAACTCAGTTCCAGGG